GGAAATGACAATAAGGTCATATGACAGTTCGGAGCCTGACAGTTTGGTTAAATAACAGTAAGGTTAAATGACAGTTGGGGAAAATTGACAATTTGGTTAAATAATAGTAAAGTTAAATGACAGTTGGAGAAAATTGACAGTTTGGTCAAATAACAATAAAGTTAAATGTCAGTTTGGTTATATAACAAAAAAGATTAAATCTTTTACCAGTAAGGTTAAATGACAGTATGGTTAAATGACAGTTTTGTTAAATGTCAGTAAGTTTAAATGACAGTATGGTTAAATGACAGTTTTATTAAATTTCAGTAAGGTTAAATGACAATATGGTTAATTGACAGTTTTGCTAAATGACAGAAAGGTTAATTGACAGTTGAAAAAACTGACAGTTGGGTTAAAGGACAGGAAGGTTAATTGATAGGAAAACTGACAGTTGGGTTAAATAACAAGAAGATTAATTGACAGTTGTGTTAAATGTCAGGTATGTTAATTGACAGTTGGGTTAGATGTCAGGAAGGGTAGTTGACAGTTGGGTTTAATGACAGGAAGGTTAATTGACAGTTGGGTTAGATGACAGAAAGGGTAGTTGACAGTTGGGTTTAATGACAGGAAGGTTAATTGATAGTTAGGGAAACTAAAATTTTTGTTAAATGACAGGAAGGTTAATTGATAGTTGAGAAAACTAACAGTTGGGTTAAAGGACATGAAGGTTAATTGATAGTTGGGAAAACTAAATTTTTTGTTAAATGACAGGAAGGTTAATTGGCAGTTGGGAAAACAAACAGTTGGGTGAAAGGACAGGAATGATAATTGATAGTTAGGAAAACTGACAGTTGGGTAAAATGACACTTTTGTTAAATGACAAAAAGGTTAAATGACAGGAAGATTAATTGACAGTTGGGTTAAATGACAGGAAAGTTAATTGACAGTTGGGTTAATTGACAGGTAGGTTAATTGACAGTTGGGTTAAATGACAGTTGGGTTAAATAAAATTAAGGTCAAATGACAGTTGGGTTAATTGACAGGTAGGTTAATTGACAGTTGGGTTAAATGACAGGTAGGTTAATTAACAGTTGGGTTAAATGTCAGTTGGGTTAAATAAAATTAAGGTCAAATGACAGTTTCGTCAAACACAATTTATTTGAGATGCCATTCAACATCAAACCCCGGGACACTTACTCATCCCAATGAATCGAAGAGAAATTCAATTTCCAAATTACATTTCCTTCCCGCAACAGTTAATTGAACATTATACGTTGAAGAGTCTAGTCTGTCTGCCAAGAGTCTTGGCCAAAACGAAATCGCCTCTAATCAGATAGTAAAACGTTTTGCTCTCCAGTTTCTTTAATGGGTCATTGACTCTGACCTTGCTGTTGAATCCAATAATATATCTTTCTCATCACATTACAAATTGCCCTAAATTTCCCTATTTATTATTCTTTTATTTTTACTTGTCCACTGTTCAATTCGTTTTTTCTTTCTTTCTTTCTTTCTTTTATTCTTTTTTTATTTAAAAACAAAGTAGGTCAGTTCTGCGAGGGTATATAATATCGACTTTGTGTATTGTATATAATGGAAAGAAACATAATTAGGGGGGAAGTGTACGTCATGTTATTGGCGTCGTTGGTAAACTAGGAGAAAAGAAGTAGCGTCGTGTCTAGTTTGATTTGTGCCAAATAGAGGGTCATCAATCCACATACAACTTTTATTCTTATAGAACTCGACTTTTTCACCCAGTAATCTTTAACCTTAGTTTCATTAGTGTATGGATGCAATTTGCATTTATGTCAATTTCTCCATTCTTTTTATTTGTATATTTGGAAATTTTATTTTTTATTCTGCTAATGCTATTAATATTTTTTGTAATTTTTCTTTGCTACTTTCACCAATCGTTTAGTTCGAGATGACATACTGCCAAATTGGGAATATTTAAGAACCAGAACTGCCAAGTTGGGAATATTTAGGAACAAACACTGCCAAGTTAGGAGAATATTGAAGCCAAATTTATTTAATGCCAAATTGGGAATATTTAAGAACCAAAACTGCCAACTTGGGAATATTTAGGAACAAACACTGCCAAGTTAGGAGAATATTTAAGCCAAATTTATTTAATGCCAAATTGGGAATATTTAAGAACCAAAACTGCCAAGTTGGGAATATTTAGGAACAAACACTGCCAAGTTAGGAGAATATTTAAGCCAAATTTATTTAATGCCAAATTGGGAATATTTAAGAACCAAAACTGCCAAGTTGGGAATATTTAGGAACAAACACTGCCAAGTTAGGAGAATATTTAAGCCAAATTTATTTAATGCCAAATTGGGAATATTTAAGAACCAAAACTGCCAAGTTGGGAATATTTAGGAACAAACACTGCCAAGTTAGGAGAATATTTAAGCCAAATTTATTTAATGCCAAATTGGGAATATTTAAGAACCAAAACTGCCAAGTTGGGAATATTTAGGAACAAACACTGCCAAGTTAGGAGAATATTTAAGCCAAATTTATTTAATGCCAAATTGAGAATATTTAAGAACCAAAACTGCCAACTTGGGAATATTTAAGAACAAACAATGCTAAGTTAGAAGAACATTTAGGAAGAAATAATAAAAAATTTTTTAAATAAATTGAATTCTGTTAAAAAATTTTATAAAAATAGTTGGAATTAAAATTCATTGAATTGGGAAAAATTTTTGAAAAATAATTTACAAAGAATTCTATTAAGATTTTTGACAATAATTAAATGTATTGTGTGGCATTTAATTAAAATTTTTTAAAAATAATTAAATTCCTAAAAAGCATTTTATTACCTATTTATGAAAATAATTAAATTCTTGCAAACGATTTTATTAGAATTATTTTAAATAATTGAATTATTTCCAAGAAAAAATTTATTACATATAAAAATAATTGAATTCTAGTGATGAATATTGTTATTTATGAAAATAATTGAATTCTTGTTGCGAATTTTATAAAAATTTTCAAAAATAATTGAATTCCTGAGAAGAATTTTATTATTTATGAAAATAATTGAATTATTGCGAAAAATGTTATAAAAATGTTTAAAGAGAATTGAATTTCTGTGAAAAATTTTTTTGTTTTTCAAAATAATTGAATTCCTAAAAAGCAATTTATTATTTATGAAAAGAATTGAATTCTTGCGAACGATTTTATTAGAATTTTTTAAAATAAATAAATAATTGAATTTCCAAGAAGAAATTTATCACTTTTAAAAATAATTGAATTCTTCTGATGAATATTGTTATTTATAAAAATAATTGAATTTTGCAAAGAATTTTATTAAAATTCCTCAAAATAATTGAATTTTTGAGAATAATTTTGTTATTTATCGACATAATTGAATTCTCTCGAACAATTTTATTAAAATAATTGAAAATAATTGAATTCCTATGAATAATTCTTCTATTTTTGTAAACAATTAAATTTATCTAAAGTATTTTATTACTTATGAAAATAATTGAATTATTGCGAAAGAAATTTACAAAAAATTTGTAAATAATTGAATTCCTGTGAAATTTTTATTATTTATGAAAATATTTAAATGTTTGCATAGAATTTTATTAAAAATTTTTTTTTTTAATATTTCAATTCTTTTGTAAAAGTTTTATTAAAATAATATTGAAAACTATTGAATTGAGGAAACTTTTTGAAAATAATTGAAATTCTGCCAAAATCTTTTTTAAGAATTTTTTTAAAATAATTGAATTTTGGAGAATAATTAGTTTTGAAAATAATTGAATTCCTGCAAATGATTTTAAAAAAAAATTTTTAAATAATTGAAATTAGAAGAAGAAATTTATTAGGTACTTTTAAAAATAATTGAAATACTGTGCTAAATTTTATTATTTATGAAAATAATTGAATTTTGGTGAATTTTATCAATTTTTTGTTAAATAATTGAATTGTTTTACGAAATTTAATGAAAATACTAGATATTGAAAATAATTGAATTTAAAATATTTTTGAAAATAATTGAATTTGGAATATTTTTTGAAAATAATTGAATTTGAAATATTTTTGAAAATAATTGAATTTTGTATATTTTTTGAAAATAATTGAATTGTTTTGCGAAATTTTATGAAAATAATTGAATTTGGAATATTTTTTGAAAATAATTGAATTTGGAATATTTTTGAAAATAATTGATTGTATATTGTTTGAAAATCATTGAATTGTTTTGCGAAATTTTATGAAAATAATTGAATTTGGAATATTTTTTGAAAATAATTGAATTTGGAATATTTTTGAAAATAATTGATTGTATATTGTTTGAAAATAATTTAATTGTTTTGCGAAATTTTATGAAAATAATTGAATTTTGAATATTTTTTGAAAATAATTGGATTTGGAATATTTTTGAAAATAATTGAATTTTGTATATTTTTTGAAAATAATTGAATTGTTTTGCGAAATTTTATGAAAATAATTGAATTTGGAATATTTTTTGAAAATAATTGAATTTGAAATATTTTTGAAAATAATTGAATTTTGTATATTTTTTGAAAATAATTGAATTGTTTTGCGAGATTTTATGAAAATAATTGAATTTGGAATATTTTTTGAAAATAATTGAATTTGGAATATTTTTGAAAATAATTGATTGTATATTGTTTGAAAATAATTGAATTGTTTTGCGAAATTTTATGAAAATAATTGAATTTGGAATATTTTTTGAAAATAATTGAATTTGGAATATTTTTGAAAATAATTGATTGTATATTGTTTAAAAATAATTTAATTGTTTTGCGAAATTTTATGAAAATAATTGAATTTGGAATATTTTTTGAAAATAATTGAATTGTTTTGCGAAATTTTATGAAAATAATTGAATTTGGAATATTTTTTGAAAATAATTGAATTTGGAATATATTTTGAAAATAATTGAATTTAGAACATTTTTTTGAGAATAATTGAATTTTGAATATTTTTTGAAAATAATTGCCATAAAATTCTAATCAAATTTTTTTTTTTTTTTCATACAGGAACAAAATTTCTCTGCAGCGAAGTGATAGCCCTTATCAGAAGCGAAGTAGACGACATATGTCTTCAAATTATAAACTTCGAAGACTTAAGTGCACAACCACCGCCGCAACCTTCTATTCCACCGCCAGCGCAGGCAAACAACAGGCTCGTTACACGCTGTAAGTCATATCGATTTCATTTCTCTTTTTTTTCTAAAACTTTTTTCTAACTTTTTTCTGTACTTTTAAAAATTTAATTTCCACAGATACAAAATCCTCTCTTTTCCCTCTTATAAATTTATATTAACCCCTCGTTTCTCATATAAGCGGTCACTAGATCGCAAAATATTGAGAATAAGCTTTAGATTTTTTCATCATTGAAGTAGAGAAAAAAAAACTTTTGCAAAACTTTCTCAAGGAACTTTCCCTTTTTTTTAATCGATTCTAAAGTTCTCCATATAAATTAAGCCACACTTGAGAAGTAATAGAACTTGTTTCTACACTTCTTTGTTATAGTTTTTGTTTGTTTGTTTGTTTGTTTTACTTTTTTTTGTGTATTTTTCACTCTAAAAACATTAATGAAAGTGTGACACTTGAAAAAATAATAAGTTTCTATTTATCTTTTTCTCGAAGTATTTTTGTCACCATTTTATGTCTAAAAATAAGAAATAAAATTAAAGAAAAGAGTGAAAACTGATAGTGGTAAAAATTATTATGGAGGAAAAATTATTAGTAGGAAAAACTAATAGTAAAAAATTAGAAGACAAATTTTCAGTAGGAAAAATTATTAGTAGGAAAAACTAATAGTAAAAAAATTAGAAGACAAATTTTCAGTAGGAAAAATTATTAGTAGGAAAAATTATTAGTAGGAAAAACTAATAGTAAAAAAAATAGAAGACAAATTTTCAGTAGAAAAAATTATTAGTAGGAAAAATTATTAGTAGGAAAAACTAATAGTTAAAAAGTAAAGGACAAATTTTCAGTAGAAAAAGTAGTAGGAAAAATAATTGCAGAAAAATTATTAGTAGGAAAATTTAGTAGGAAAAATTATTTGTAGGGAAATTATTAGTAGGAAAAACTAATAGTAAAAAATAGAAGACACATTTTCAGTAGAAAACGTAATAGAAAAAATTATTAGTAAGAAAAATTATTAGTAGGAAAATTTATTAGGAAAAATTATTTGTAGGGAAATTATTAGTAGGAAAAACTAATAGTAAAAAAATAGAAGACACATTTTCAGTAGAAAACGTAGTAGAAAAAATTATTAGTAGGAAAAATTATTAGTAGAAGTAATTAAAAGTAGGAAAAACTAATAGTTAAAAAAAGTAGAAGACAAATTTTCAGTAGAAGAAGTAGTAGGAAAAAATAATTGCAGGAAAAATTATTAGTAGGAAAAGTTAGTAGGAAATATTATTAGTAGGGAAAATTATTAGTAGGAGAAACTAATAGTAAAAAAGTAAAAGACAAATTTTCAGTAGAAAAAGTAGTAGAAAAATTATTAGTAGGAAAAGTTATTAGTAGGAAAAATTGTTAGTAGGAAAAACTAATAGTTAAAAAAAGTAGAAGACAAACTTTCAGTAGGAAAAATTATTAGTAGGAAATAATAATTGCAGAAAAAATTATTAGTAGGGAAAATTATTAGTAGGAAAAACTAATAGTAAAAAAGTAGAAAATAAATTTTCAGTAGAAAAAGTTAATTGTAGGAAAAGTTATTAGTAGAAATAATTAAAAGTAGGAAAAACTAATAGTAAGAAAAAGTAGAAGACAAATTTTCAATTGAAAAAGTAGTAGGAAAAATTATTAGTAGGAAAAATAAATAGTAGAAAAAACTAATAGTGGCCAAAACTTAAATAGGAGGAATAACTGACAATAGTGAAGACTAATTGCAGGAAAAAGTAATTAATAGGAAAAACTAATAGTGAAGAAAACTAATAGGTTTTAATACTATTAGGAGGAATAATTTATAATAATGAAAGCTAATAGTGTAAAAAAGTAATTAGTAGGAAAAAAATAGTAGGAAAACGTAATAATAACTAAAACTAATAGGAGAAATAATTTATAATAGTAAAAACTGATAGTAGGAAAATTAATTAGTAGGAAAACGTAATAGTGTCTAAAACTAATAGGAGAAATAATTGATAATAGTGAAAACTAATAGTAGGAAAAATTAATAGCAAGAAGAACTAATAGGAGGAATAATATTAATAGTAGTAAAAACTAGTAGTGTTAAAAACAATTAGTAGGAAAATCGATTAGTTGGAAAAATAAAAAGCAGGAAAATTAAATAGTAGCGAAAACTAATAGGAGAAATAATTAATAACAGTGAAAACTAATAGCAGGAAAAAGTAATTAGTAGGAAAATTAATTAATAGGGAAACGTAGTAGTGACTAAAAGTAATAGAAGAAATAATTGATAATAGTTAAAACTATTAGTAGGAAAAAGTAATTAGTAGGAAAATTAATAAGTAGGGAAAATAAATAAGTAGGGAAAATAAATAGTGGGAAAATCAATTAGTAGGAAAAATAAATAGTAAGTAAACGTAAATTGGCTAAAGCTAATAGGAGAAATAATTAATAGTGAAAACTAATAGTAGGAAAAATTAATAGTAAGAAAAGCTAATAGGAGTTAAAACTAATAGAAGGAATAATAGTGATAACAAATATACTAGGAAAAAGTAATGTTAAAAGTGACTAATAGTGAAAAAAAAATAATTCAAAAAGTAAAGGCGAAAAGTGTGTTTCGTAACAAAATAATGAAAAGTGAAAAATAATAATTTGGAAAATACATGTAACAATAATAAAAAAAAAAAAAATGTGGGAAGAAATGAGTTCGACCTCCTGCTCCAATTAAGTCTTCATACTAATCGTTCTCATTATTAGCAGCCTTACTGTATAAATACGCAGAATATGCGAAATAAAAAGAGAGAAAAAAAATTCAAAGTGTCACGCTTTCTTATCGAGAGAGTTAAACAAGGTGACTATCCTTATCTCAACATTTTAAATCAGTTTTTCATTCTTTACACACAAATACCTTTTCTTGACAAGATGTTTATTCATGAGTAAATAAATGAAATTGTTTTTCTAAAATGAGAAGCAAATGAAAATATTTGTTTGTTTTTTCAAAAAGGGAATTTTTTTTTTTTTTTTTTTTTTTTTGATAATTGGGTCAAGTTTATGGAATGAATGCCAGTTTTTGGGAATTTTTTGTTTTGCCTCTTTGACTTTTGTAATATTTGCATTTTTTTTTGTTTTTTCGCTTCTTTCTTTTTTTTGTTTTTCTCTCTTTTTTTATTTTTGTCCCTTTTTTGTTTTTGTCTTAATTTCTATTTTTTAATCTTTTTTTTTTGTTTTCTTTACTGTTTTTTGGTCTTGTTTTTCTTTTTAGTTCAATTTTTTTGTATTTTCCACTTTTTTGTTTTAGTTTCTGTTTTATATTTTTCTTTTTGCTTTTGTCCTTTTTTGTTCTTTTTTCCTATTTTTTTCTACTTTCTTGTTCTTCTTTCCTATTTTTTCTACTTTTCTGATTTTGTACTTTTTTCTTTTTGTTTCAGTTACTGTATTTTTTGTTTTTTTTTACTCTGTATTTTCTACTTTTTTTGTTATTGTTCTTTTCTATTTTAGTTTGTGTTTTGTGTTCATTTTTTCTGTTTTCTCTATTTTTTTTTTGCTTTTGTTCTTTTTTATTTAAGTTTTTCAATTTTTTTTGTTCCTTTTTTCTATTTTATCTACTTTTTTGTTATTGTTCTTTTTTGTTCTTTTTTCCTATTTTTTCATTAATTTTTTGTTTTTGTCATTTTTTGTTGTTTTTTCCTATTTTTTCTACATTTTTGTTTTTGTTTCAGTTACTGTATTTTTTTTTGTTTTTTACTCTATATTCTCTACTTTTTTGTTATTGTTTTTTTTTTGTTTTAGCTTCTGTTTTATGTTCTTTTTTTCTGTTCTCTCTATTTTTTTTTTGTTTTTGTTCTTTTTTGTTTAAGTTTTTGTATTTTTTTTTTGTTTCTTTTTCCTGTGTTCTCTTTTTTTTGTTTTTGTCCTTCTTTTTAGTTTGATTTTTCGTGTTTTTTCTATTTTTTTGTTTTTGTTTTAGTTTCTGTTTTATGTTCTTTTTTTGTTTTTGTTCCTTCTTCCTATTTTGTCTACTTTTTTGTTTTTGCCTTTTTTTGTTTTATTTTGTTTTAGTTTCTGTTTTGTTTTGTTCTATTTTATCTACTTTCTTGTTTTTGTCCTTTTTGTTATTTGTTTTTTATTTTTTTCCTCTTTTCTTTTTTTTTGGTTTTTGTCCTTTTTTCATTTGTTCTAATTTCTGCTTTTTTGTTCTCTTGTTTATTTTTTTCCACTTTTTGTTTTTTTACTTTGTTTTTTATTGTTTCTCCATTTTTTTGTTTTTTTCTCTTTTCTCTACTTTCTTGCGTTTTTGTCCTTTGTTTTTTTGTTTTAATGTTTGCTGTTTTGTTTTCTTGTTTATTTTATTCTACATTTTGTGTTTGTCCTTTGTTTTTTCTTCTGTGTCCTTTTTTTTCTTTTCTCTACTTTTTTTGTTTTTGTCCTTTTTTTATTTGTTTTAATGTATCCTATTTTGTTCTCTTGTTTATTTTTTTCTACATTTTGTTTTTGTCCTTTTTCTGTTTTACTTTCTGTTTTTTTTTTTTTTTTTTTTTTTTTTTTTTTTGAGGGTGAGAGGATTTTGTTTTTTTATAGGGAGGAAGTTTGTTTGTTTGTTTTAATTTTTGCTGTTTTCTTTTCTTGTTTATTTTTTCCTACATTTTGTTTGTGTCCTTTTTCTGTTTAAGTTTTAATTCCTGTTTTTTTTTTTTTTTTTTTTTTTTTAAGGTGAGAGATTTTTTTTTTTTAGAGAGGAAGACAGGGTTTCTTTCCCTAAACATCCGAATAGGAAGTGACGGAATATTACGCTCCTGGCGTGCTTCCCGTGCATCAGGTTTTTGTATCCGGTTCGCGAAAAGTATTTTTAGTCGCCGGTGGACGTCGTGTGGCACGCCTAAGCGTTAACCCTGACCTGGTAATAAATGTTATACCCCCCCCCCTCCCTCCCTCCCTCTCTATCATTATTATAAAGTACACACATTCAAAAGAATTCTTATTGGGGAGGATTTAGAATCGATTAAAAAAAAATCCACTTAATCTATTTATTCTTTTTTTTCCTCCTTTAATTGATAATAAAATTAAGTTTATACGCAAAAGTGAAAAGAAAGCGCAGGAATTCTAATATTATTATTAAATAATGTTATATTTCTTATCGTAATTATTTTCTTCAAGGGAAATGCGCATAATTTATGTGATTATAGTTGGGAATGGATAATATAAAAGGAATCGATTCACCTAGTTGCATTTTTTCACAATTATTTTACAATCATGTGGTTTTTTTTTTTGTATCTCATTAACCCCTTCTGCACGCACAATCGTTCATCTTGATTTTTCGAGGGAAATTATAACGCAACTGGTTTCTTTTCGTCCCAATGGGGAAAAATGAAAATTAACTTTTTTTTTACTAGGTAATAATAATAATAATAACAATGGTAATTTCAATAATTTTAATAATAATAATAATAGTAAAAATAACAGACTTTTCAAAAAATAAAAATAAATTGACACAAAGGAATTATAATAAATAATTTATTTTAAGCAGTTAAAAAAAATTATTATTATTATTATTATTATGATAAAAAATAGGTATTATAACCTATTGATAATAATAAATTACTACTAATAATTTTAGTTTTTTATAATTAATATTCAGTAGTAGTGAGTATGATGACTAATTTTGTAAATTTGACGCAACAGTGAAATGTCCCCTTTGTGTTTACTAACATTTACTAATTGTATGCGAATGACGTTGACTCGAGCAGTCGACAGGGCGAGGGCATCATTTCGAGCCGGACTCTCGAGGACTGGCGTCGTGGGACCATCGCGAGTCAGAAGTCGACCCAAGCCAGGTTCAAATATTCCTCATCGTCTCGCCGACGGTACAATTCTAGACGAAGAAGCCTCTGAAAATTGGTGAGTTTTTATTTTATAATTTTCCATTTTTTTTCTTTTTACTTTTTTTGTTAATAAAATTAAAAAATTAATAATCATCAACGTAAAGAATTAAATAACAAATTAGAGTACTAAATATTAAGCATAGTAATTATAAATATTATAATAATTATAATAGGTTATAAGAATAATAGTTTTAGTAAAAAAAATGTTCCTTATTTGGAATGGATATCAAAAATACTGTCAACAATAATAATTTATTATTAATTAAATAATAAATTTTACTGTAGACCCTCGAGCTATGGTGCCTAAATAATAAAATAGTGACTTATAAGTTTTTCAAAAATAACTAGAAATGACTTAAAATTACTAGAAATAAACCAAAGTAACTCGAAATGAGACCAAATTGCTCAAAAAACCTAAAAATTGTTGAAAAAACCAAACAGACTAAATAATACAAAAAGTGCCTATAAATATAAAAAAATAACACAAAGATACTGAAAAATATTATTAATAAATAGTTGTAAATTAAAATAATAAGTTAAAAACAAAAACGAATAAGTAATACAAAAAGTAATAAAAAAAATTTCCAAAAATGACTTGGAATTACCCAAAATAACTCAAAATAAGTCAAAAACATTAAAAAAAACCCTTAAAATTGTTGTAAAATCCACAAAAGGTTGAATAATACAAAAATTGGAAAATTTTTCAAAAATAACCTAAATTTACTCGAAATGACCCAATTATTTTGGTTTATTTCTAGGAATTTTGGGTCATTTCGAGTAAATTTGGGTTATTTTTTGAAAAATTTACACTTTTTGTATTATTCAATCTTTTTTGGTTTTTACAACAATTTTAAGGTTTTTTTTTAGTGATTTTGACTCATTTTGAGTTATTTTGGGTCATTCCAAGTTGTTTTTGGAAATTTTTTCATCAATTTTTGTATTATTTTTAGTCTTTTATCATTTCTTAAAATCATTTTCCGGTTTTTCTAAGATGATAAATTTGATTTATTAAATCAAAAAAACTTAAAAATGCTTTGAAAAAAGAAAAATGGTTAAATAAAACAAAAGTGACATACATTTTCCAAAAGGACCCAAAATAATTAGAATTGAAATAAAAAAAAATTGGAAATAACCAAAAATTTCTCAAAACACATATACAAATAATTGAAAAAACCAAAAAAGTCTAAATAATAAAATAGTGACATATAAATTTTCCAAAAATAACTAAAAATTACATGAAATTACTAGAAATAATCCGAAATAACTAAAAATTACCTGAAATTACTAGAAATAATCCAAAATTACTCGAAATGAGACAAAATAACTCAAAAAACCTGAAAATTGGTGAAAAACCTCGAAAAGACTAAATACTACAATAAGTGACAAATTTACTAAAAATAATCCAAATTTACTCGAAATGACCCAATTATTTTGGTTTATTTCTAGGAATTTTGGGTCATTTCGAGTAAATTTGGGTTATTTTTTGAAAAATTGACACTTTTTGTATTATTTAATCTTTTTTGGTTTTTACAACAATTTTAAGGTTTTTTTTTAGTTATTTTGACTCATTTTGAGTTATTTTGGGTCATTCCAAGTTGTTTTTGGAAATTTTTTCATCAATTTTTGTATTATTAAGTCTTTTTTCATTTATTAAAATCATTTTCCGGTTTTTCTAAGTTGATAAATTTGATTTATTAAATCAAAAAAACTTAAAAATGCTTTGAAAAAAGAAAAAAGTTTTAAATAATACAAAAGTGACATAAATTTACCAAAAGGACCAAAAATAAATAGAATTAAAATTAAAAAAATTGGAAATAAGCAAAAATTTTTCAAAACACATACAAATGATTGAAAAAACCAAAAAAGCCTAAATAATAAAATAGTGACATATAAATTTTTCAATAATAACCAAAAATAACTAGAAATGACCTAAAATTACTAGAAATAAACCAAAATAACTCGAAATGAGACAAAATTACTCAAAAAACCTGAAAATTGTTGAAAAACCCCGAAAAGACTAAATAATTCAAAAAGTGACATAAATTTTCCAAAAATAACTGAAAATTACCCAAAATAACTCGAAATGAGCCAAAATCACATTTTTCCAAAAATTACCCAAAAAACTTTTAAATGATCCAAAAATTTTTTTTCAAATTGGAAAACACCCTTAAATTATGATAAAAGAAACATAAAATTATCCAGAAATAAAAAAAAGAAAAAATTCAAAACTGATTCAAAAAAAAATGTTTGGAGTATAAAAAATGACTGAAAAATTATTGAGCGTGACTCAATGAGTCACACGTGGCTACATTTTTTTTTTTTATAAATTAGTATTCATCTAAATGCATATAATATATTTTTGTCAGCCAAATAGGGCGATATATTAAAAGGGTGCCTTCTCTAAATAATTACAACTAATTATTGATAAAGATCCTAGCTCTTAATTCCATTATTTTCATAATTTTTAATATAAATAAGATAGGAAAACAAAAATATTTTCCTGTCATGCCACTGATTATCATGTATATTAAATCAAGTTTTAATAAAAAAAAATTTTTAATTTCCAAATAAAATTTTATTTTTCATTTTTATCTAAACAAGTTTTATTTTTCTTTATTCATTAATTATTTATTCTTTCTATTATTTATTTGTATTCTATTATTATATTTATTACTATTCTATTATTTATTTCTTTACTTATTTATTTAATTTAATTATTAAGTTTTTTTTAATTTTAATTGAAGACAATTCATTTATTACAAAAAAACTAATTTTACTCACTTTTTTATTTGTTTAGTGAAGTGAATTTTAATTTTTATAATAAATAATAAACAAAATGTGTAAACAATTAAAAAGTGATAAATTACAAAACTTTTTAAAACAAGTGTATATAGTAATAATAATAATAGTAATAAAAATAATAATTATAATAATAAAAGTTGAACTGTAAAGCTTAAGGAGCGCTCTCAAGTCAACAGAAACTTTAGGAAAGGGTGGGGGGGGGAGGATTATATTTCCCTTTGACCCTGAGAGGAGCATTAAAGCTCGTTTAGTGATAAAGACATTTAATTATAATTCTTTTAACACATTTTCCAATAAAAATTTTCTTACCCTTTAAAAAAAAAAAAATTTTTTAAGAAACGTTAAGACTATTATTTAAACTATTTAGCTAAAATTAATTAATAAATTAATAATGAAAAAAATAAATTAATTAATAAATTAATAATTAAAAAATATAATTTAAAATATCAAGATGATATAATGAAATAACAAAATAAAAATAAATTAATTAATAAATTAATAATAAAAAATATAATTTAAAATATTAAGATGATGTAATTAAATAACAAAATAAAAATAAATATAATTAAAAAATAATTCAATTATACAATATAAATAAGAAACAATAACAAAAGTAATAATGAAATAGTAATAATTAAGTAATGAAATAAAAATAATTAATAAATTACATTGTGTAAAATAGAAAAAACTAAAAATTTCAAAATATAAATAAGTGAATGTAATAGCCTTGGGGCATAAGGCGGAGCATATCTCCACGATCGTTTTAAGGTTCGAGTCCCCTCGGGGGTGATTTTTTTAATTTCTCCAGTTTCATTAAATTTAGAAAAAAAAAATTCGAATTGTTAATAGAATAGAAAAAAGAATAGAAAAGTAATTAACAAATAATAATTAAATATAGTAAAAAAAATAAAATTTTAATTTAAAAAAAAAATAATTAAAAAAGTAGTGAACAGAAAAAAAAAAATAGTAAATAAAAATAGAAACTTTCTACAAAATAAAAATAATAATTAACAAAATGATTAAGTAGGAAAAGTGAAAGGTTTCCTTGAAAAATGAAAGATGTAAAGAACATTTAAAAAGATGAAAATGGTCCATTAAGGAGCCAGTTTTACTTGGAAGTGAAATCGAATTAATAGCTTTTATTTCCTCTTAAAGTAATTAGTTTGTGCAACCAAATTGAAAAGGGGCGAGGGGGGGGATTGATTTATAATACTGCATAGTTACTGTCGCATGAGTGATTATTCTACGCATTTTTTTCTCTCTTTTCCTTTTCTTTTGACCTAAAATTGACCTAATTTTTGTATTTTTCTTTGGAAATTTAAAAGAAAAAGTATTTTCTTGTAGTTAATTAAGAAACTTTATTAATTAGAGTTGGTAAACTTTTGTCAAGGTTTGCGCGAATTTTTCTGCACTTTTCATCAATCTTTGAAAAAATTAAGAGGAAATTTAAATAAAATTCAATAAGATTAAAAAATTAAAAAATTAAAAATAGTTTATATTAATTATTAAACTCTCTAAATTTTTCATAATAAATAATAGTAGAATTTACGAATATTTTGAGATACAAAATGGAGTCGTTATTCTTCACCTGCGAATGCCAAGGTCACCGCAAGATGGCAGTTTAGTCCTTTCTTGGAATTTCTTCCGCCACCTGGTGGCGACATTGGCGTTCTCAAGTGGAGAAATTTAATTTATCCCTGGAAAATTTTTTTTCCTCATTCAAAAAACTGTTATTTAAAGAATAATTTTACTTCTTTTAAATTTAAATTAAAAAAATTTTCTAAATTCAGTCCGAGGACTATAATACTATTCACTTTGACAAAAAATTATCAAATGTTTCCTGTATAATAAAAATAATTTTTAGAAAATAATTTTTGCGAAAAAATCAAATTCTGGTATTATTCAATTATTTTCAACTGTATTTTTTTGAAAGAAATGTGAATTTTATAGTCGAACATAATAATAATAATAATTTGGCAAATTTTTTTGTTTCTCTTGAAACGACTGATACGTATGACGAAAAGGATCATTATAATATGAGTTTTATGGACTATTTTATAATATCATACCTATATATGTATATATAGAGAAAGAGAGAAAGAGAATGATGAATAGATGATGCGGGCGCAGAAGGAGCAAAAATTCCTCAATTCATTCGACCTACATTTTCGTACTGTCCTTGCATGTTCATTTCTCATGGACGTTCAAAAAGCG